GCCCGCGTGTCGGCCAACAGCGCGGCGGCATCCAGAAAGCGCCGCAAATAGCACACTTGGTGCGCCACACGCAGAATGAGGCCGGCGTTCACTGGCTCGGTAGTGCCAGCTTCGACGTAGGTCTTCATTTCGGCGAAGAAGTCGTAGAACGCGTCTTTCGACTGCGCAACGTCCGCTGTGATGTTCTGCAGCCCGCGCGCGAGGCTGCGCAAGGCCTGGCCGAGCCAGACGAGCTCGCCACTCTGCGAGTAGCCGACTGCGCGCTGCAGCAGCTGAATAAACGAAAAATTCGTCGCCTTGCTGTGGCTCTGGATTTCGGCTACCAACGCAGCCACCTCGCTGTTCGCGATGAAGTCGTCGATCAGCCGAGAGACAGTGCTGTGCGAAAGAAAGCGCAACACTGCGAGGCTTTCTACCGTCGAGTCTAGCAGGGTGGCGAACGCCTTAAACAGCGCTACGCAGCCGGCGAGCGACCTGGGCAACGTAGCGGCACATTGCGTTAGGTGCGCCACGGTCGTCATCAGGTTCGGCTCGAGGGAGGCCGCGAGCCACGCGTCGTGCAACGCGCGCTGCTGGTAGAAGCCGCTGAGCGTCGTAAACGCCGCGTCTGCGCTCGACTTGCGCCGCTCGAAGCAGTTCACTAGCGCCACGAGCAGACGCTGATCGGCAAGCAGCGCGTCGCAGCCTGCTGCGCCGAAGCACTGCGCCACGGCGTACACGAACGTGAATGCGCACTTGTTTACGTGCAGCCCCTGGCTCGCGTCGATGTCGTTTAGCAGCTCGCGCACAAACTGAGCGTCGCCGCCGTCGAAGGGGGGCACAGCCGAGTTGCCTTCGCGCAGCATGCGGTGGAACGCGCCGGCGAGCTGCACGACGCGTTGCAGCAGCGCCGCGCTCTCCGCGTTTGCCTTCGCGCAGCGATACAGAAACGGCAACACTTTCGCGTCGAAGAAGCGCGCGAGCTGCTCGCCGGTGGTCACTACTTGTTGGAAGCCCGTGATCAAACTTTGCAGCAGCGCAGCCGAGACTTTGCGGCTCGGGTTCGCAGCGTAAAGCTGCACGACGCCGAGCATCTCGCTGAACACGGCGTCGAACAGTGGCTCGGTCAGCTTCGTCGGCTTCGCGCAGATCGTTTCGATGCAGCTCACAACCGACTCCACAGTCTCGTCGGACGCTGCGATTTCCGGCGCCCTCAGCAACCGTAGCAGCGTGCCAAGTGCGTTGCGGAACTGCAGCGCGTACATGTTGCGCGAGTTGAAACTCATCGCTTGCAGCGTGTCGAGCTCGACTTTCAGCGCACTCGTGTTGAGCGGTTCTGGTGCGTCCTGCAGATGACGTATTCGCGTCAGCAACTCCTGCACGGACTCGCCGTCGTCGAGCTCTGCCTTCAGCTGAATCAGAATCGCGTTCGCCAGCCGCTTGGCAGTAGCGTTGACACGCGGTGAGAAAAACACTTGTTTCAGCGTTCGCGCCAACCGCAGCTCCGCGAACATTTTGCGCGTCAGCTGCGCGTCGGGAATGGATTTCAACGCGGCGAAGATGAGCGTCAAACTGTTCACGGTGCGCGCAGTGTTGTGCGCGGACAGCTCGACGAAGGTCGTCACACTGCGGAACACGGTGGCATTGGTGTAGAGGGGCGTGTGCGCCGTGTCGCTCTTCGTCGCGATGCAGAGAAGTAAGTCGATGCAGATCTCTGCGAGCCGCTGGTGCGACACGAAACTCTCGGCGAAGCTCGCGAATAGCTCGACGACCTGTTCGCAAAGCGCGCCGCTGAGCGCCGGTGCAAACTGCAAAAACGTGCGGAAGCAGCGCAGCACGTGCTCGCGGATGGCCGCGGCGCTGTCGTCGGCGTCGCGGACGCCGGGGTTTTTGGCCAGCTGCACGAAGTACGCGCTGATTGCATCCGCAAATGCGCGCGAAGCGGTGCGTCCGAACTGCGCAAGCTGTTCGAGCGCGAAGACGAAGCAGGAGTGCGGGAAACTCAAGTTGTACGGCTTCAGGACTTGCTGCACGGGGTTTCGCTGCGCGGCAAACTGCTTATTGTCGAAGCGCAACAGCTTTTCGCTGCAAGCAGCGAACGCACTGACCAACGCATGCGCGTCGAATTCGTAGAGCGGCAGCATACCCGGGCAAATGCCGAGCAGCGCGAGCGTCAGCAGCGCGTCTTCGGGCACTGAGACTTGTGCGAGCGAGCGAAGCGCGCCTTGGTAGAGCTGCTGCAACAGGGCGGCGGGGCACGCAGTCGCGAGCGTTTCTTCGATGTCTGTGAGCAAGTCATGCGAGAGTCGCGTTTTCAGCGCGAGCAGCCCGAGCAGCCGCGGCGTCAGAATCAGCTCGGCGTACTGCAGGTAGAGCAAACCGGTGACCAGGTTCGTGCAAAGCTCGCCGACCTCTGCATCGTCGATGTACCCAAAAAAAACCGTTTCGATTGCGCGATGGCTCGCGCCGCGCCCGTCGGCGGCTAGTCGCTCCGCGGTGTACTCGAGGCTGGTAACCAGTGGCAGCGCCTCGCGGATCGCGAGAATGCAATCGCGCACGAAATTCCGCTGCTCGAGCCGCTTGTCGAGCGCAAAAACGAGAATCTCAAACGCTGACGCGCTGTACAAGTAATCCTGCAAGTCGTCGAAGCCGAGGCTCGCGCGCAAAAAGGAGAGCTGCTTCGCGACTGGCGCGGGCGAGGCTGCGACTGCTTCAAGCACGTACAGCAACGCGAGGTAGCTTTGAAACTGCAGCAGCGCGGCGCGGAACTCGGCGCTCGCGATGAGCGCGAGCGCGCAGAACGCGAAAGATTCGTTCAGCTGAGCAGCGGTTGCCACGCTCAGGCTGGTCACTACGTTCACGTATGTCTCGCTGCACAGGTTCGCGGCGATGTGCGCGAAGCACGCCGCGTCTGCCTCCGCAACGTTGCGCAAAATTTCAAGCAACCGGCAGAGCGCTTCCGCGTAGGCCTCCTCGCCGGCGAGCGCGGCGATACATGCGGAGCAAGTTTCGTGAAATTTCTGCACCAGCGCGACGCAGACGGAGACCTCGGCCACGTCGGCTCTGCAGGATGGGTTCTGCGAGAGGGAGAATAGTGGGTAGAGCGCAGAGAGCAGTTCTTCTACGGAGAGCCCTGGCCGCGCAATTAGCGCCAGCGCGCTCGAGAGGTCCGCTTGCGTGTACATCTGCTGTGCAAGCTTCAGCAAGCAGCCGCGTACCACGCGCGACCCGTGCGCGGGCAGCGCGGTCGACACCTTGATCAGGCTACGCTTCTCGTTGAGCGAATAGCGCTGCGGGATTTCCTCGCGCAGTGCTTCGTAGATGTACTCGTAAAACGCGACAAACCGGTCGTCGCCGTCCGCAAACTGCTTCGAGCTTGCGCAGAAATCGATCAGTCGTGCGGAGAACTTCTCCTGTTCGAGCGCGCGAAGCAGCTGCGGCGAGTTCCTCGCCATGTCGCAGAGCGCCACCGCGCTGTGCGTCGCGTTCTCTTCGTCCGTCGCGCTCTGCTGGTCGTGGAAGCGTTGCTGCAACAGCATGGCGGTGCCGTGTTGCTGGAACTGCGTAGCGAGCCGCTGCTCGTTAATTTGTGCAACGGTTTCGCTGATCAGCGCGTCGAAATCGTCTTCGTCGACGTTCAGCGCGATCAGCCGCTCGTAGAGCTCTGCAAGCTCTGCAACGCGCGCGCCGGTGGCGGTGTCTCGCGCCTCGCTCGCTACCGAGTAAAAGTTAGTTACGATGCGCAGCAAGTTAATAGCGATCTCGGACTTCGGCGTCTTTTCGAGCAGCTCGACGAGCGAGCGCAAGATCGAGACGACGACGCCGTCCTCGAGCTCCAGAGCAGCTGCGCAGTTCTCGCGGAACAGGCGCTTCGGCGCGCTGCACAGCGCCGCGAGCGTGTTGACCCCGTAGCGCGCCATCATCAGCGACTTGCGGTTGTTTTTGGTCAGGTCCAGCGCAGTGGCCACCGCGGCGAACTGAGAGCAGTTTTTCGTTGCCGCCATGCCCTAAAATCTCATTGGCGAAAATAGTGAGCTGGGTGCACCCTCACCCTGCGACGCGCGACGAGCCCCACGCCGGGCAGCGCTCGACTCGGGCCGCTCGCGACGTTCAGAATAAATTTATTATTATACGCGTACGATGAAGCTCTTCGAGGGCTACTGCCTGAAAGCGTAAGTGGACTGTAGCGCGAGCAGGCCTGCGTCAGTCACTGCAATCATCGAGGACGTGAACGAGTACGAAGACTTAATCACGTACCGCATCACAGATAAGTTGACGCTCATCAAGTGCGGCGAGAACGGCCTTCCCAAAGTTTCAGAAGACGAGCTGAGCAAGCGCATCACCGATTCTATCAACGCTGCTACAATCAAGCACAAGCGACTCTAGCCACTCGCGACGGATTTCAGCATCGCAACCGTGGCGCAGTCGGTAGCGCGTTGGTCTCATAATCCAGAAGTCGGGAGTTCGAGCCTCCCCGGTTGCATTTTGGTTTTTCAATGGACGACGATCTGCTGCACAGGCTTCGCGCGTTCCGCGGCGCTCTCGATGAAGTAAGTTCGAGATACGCAGAGCGCAGGTAGAGAAAATTGAGAGCATTGCGCGCGGCTTCGCTGCAGAGTGCAGCACGGCGCGCGCGCGTTGCGCCCGAGACGAGGCTGCTACGCACAGCGCTGCGTCGCCGCCTTCGGCCGCTGCGGAGTGGCGATCTGCGGAGCCGTTCGCCACGCTGCGCGAAGTTTACTACGTTGGTGCGCTCAGCAAGTAAGTGCGCGGCGGCGCGCCGCAGCTTGGCGCTCGACGCGCTGCTCGATGAGCTGTTAGCGACACCGTTGGACTCGCCGCGCGGTGCGCTCGTTATCGCAGGCGCGCTTCGCAGCCTCGCACTGAACTTCCGCAGCTGCGACTTGTTCGACGCGACGCCGCTCAGTCAGTTCGAAACCGCATTCGGAGCGCTGCTCGCGCGCTACAGCTCCACTGCAGGCCGGCTTGCCGCAGCGCCGCTTACGCAACAGACTTGCGCGAAGCTCGAGCGCCTACTCGCCGCGCTGCGGCCGCACCGACTGCTCGCGGCGTTCGCGGCAGACTTCGTGCGCGGCCTGCTTGTTGGCGCGCTCTGCGAGCTCGTGCTCGCGTTGCCTCCGGAACTCGACTGCGAAGCATTGTTGAAAGCCAGCAGCGTGAGCGCCTTGGCGGAAGCTGCAGGGGGCGGCGCCGCGGCGCGTGCCTTCTTCCGGCTGTGCAGTGTGTACGCCGCGGCGAATCTCGGTGAGAACGTCGCTTCTGAACAGCTAGAAACGTAAGTGCGCATCTGCGGCACGCAGCTTTCTTGCGCGCGCCGAGCTAGCAGTCGCAAGCTGTGCGGTGCGCGGCGCAGGCACGTCGAGCGACTTTTCGGCTCAGCAAAAGATGCTGGCTGCGCTGTTCCATGAAGAAGCGCGGGCGCTATCGATCCCTGCGCATAACGCCGCTCGCGCGCGAGGCTGAAAAGTCGCAACGGCAGAATCGTTCTGTAGTGTATTTATTTAATTCTAATGGGTTTTCTGGCAGTTTCTGATCGCAGATGCGAGTGATTCTAGCGTTATTTTTCGCGGCCTACGCGCTTGTGCAAGCGTGGCTGCTTATCAGTCTGCTGCACTTTTCGACCATTCACCAGAAATTCCGCCGTTTTAGCGAGGAGGAGCAGGAGTCCTTCCGCCCGTTCCAGCGACAGGACGGTCAGCTGGACTTGTGGCGGTTGGTGCTGCTGGCTACAGCGAGCCCTATCCTGATATTGCTGCGGCTTTTGGCGCTGCTGGTTTTCGCCGTCGTGCAGATCATGGCGTTAGCCATTGACTCATTCATCACGCGTCGCGCAAGCGGCGCTGCTGCGAACGGCATGCCGCGCCGTGGCGTGCGCGCGGACTGGGTGGAGAGCGTGATCCGCCTGTGTTCCTATTGTGAAATACGTCTGCTGGGTCTGAGTAGTATCGCCTTCCAGGAAGTGCTGCACGCTGACATCGACGCCGAGAGCGGCAAGTTGCGCTCGCTGGCAGTGCAGCCGTGCGACCACAAACTGTTCAAGCGGCTGCCCGCGAATTACGTCTGCAACCACGTGAGTTTTGTGGACATTTTGCTGTTTCTGTACGCGCTGATGCCCTCGTTTGTCAGTAAGGCAGGCGTTGCGAAGGTGCCGCTGGTCGGGCCGATTGCGCTGCTGCTCGACACGATTATGATCGACCGTGCGGAGGCAAAGACCAAGCAGTTTGCGCGCTGCGAAATTGAGAAGCGACAGAGAAGGATCTGGAAGACGCGTATTAACTCGTTCGCCGAAAGCCGTCTCGTTCAGACGCTGCCCTTTGTCAAGCAGTTCGTTGAAGGTTTCAACGAAAACGTCGAGCGCGACGGGCGCTCACTGCTTATTTTCCCTGAAGGCACCACTTCCAACGGTCGCTGCGTGCTGCCCTTCAAGCTCGGCGTCTTCGCAAACTTCCACCCAGTGCGCCCTGTGGTGCTCGTCTACCGACACTCACTCTTCTCTTGCGCGTACGATCTGATCTCGATTATCTATCTGTTGCCGCTCTGCATGAGTTTGGCAGACGCGGGCAGCGTCGAAGTGCTTCTGCTGCCGATAGAGTACCCGCGCGTAAAAGAGGTTACGCAGGGCGACGTCGCGAGCTTCGCGCGGCGCGTGCGCGCGAAGATGAGCGCGGTTCTCGCCTTCGCGACAAAGACGGATATCGCTGTCGACGAGGAGGTGAACGCGCTGACGCTCAAACAGAAGTGTCTGAGCAAGTTGCGCAGCAACAAAGTCAAGCTGCACTAGCTGGAGAGCGCTGTTTCGTCGCGTTGGATTTAAAGCGGTTTTGATTTTTGCAAATTTCGTGCTTCGCTCTCTGCGCTTCCTGTCGACGAGTGCGCCATGGGAGTCAAGACGGAGCTGCTGCTCGAAGACCATTTCACGCCCGAATCCGTCGACGGCTCTCGCTTCGCCAACGTGAGTCGCGCGACGGGCGTCAGCAGCACGTACGATATCAAACTGGGCGTCGACGTCAACACAAGTATCTACCCGCTCTCTGTGCACAAGTCATACGCGTTTTGCTTCCACCAGTCCGACGAAATTCGCTACACGGCCGCCGAAAACTTTGATCTCGACCGGCTGACCGTCGACTGGGACTATGTCTGCTACGGCCGCGTATTCAAAATCGAGAACAGCGGCGAGAACCAGCGAACTGTGTACATCAGCTTTTCTGGACTGCTCTGCTACCTGCAGAGCCAGGCTTCGTTGCTCTCGAACTTTCACGAAAACTTGCGCGTGCTCTTCATGCTGAAACAAAACTAGAGGACTTCTATTTTGTAATTTCATTTTGCGCACGCTGAGCGATGCTCGCGGATCTCGGACTGCTCCGAGAGAGTGGTTACCGCTGCCTGGTGCTTGCATTAGGCGGCGAGGTTGCGCAGGCCGTCGAGGCGCTGCAGCTCTCGCGCTTTTGCTTTGTCTCGCGTAAGTCGCGCGAGCCGCAGAAACCCGTCTGCAGCGTTCCGATCCACAAAACGCATCTGCTGCTCGGCCGCTCTTTCGCCGACGTGGTCGTCGCGGACCTAGAGTACCTGTCGCCGAACGCGTTTTGCATCGTCTCCGAGACGCTCGAGAGCGGCGGCGTTCTGCTGCTGCACGCCAAAGCAGAGTTTGCATGGTTCAAGCAGGAGCAGCGCTTTGCTGCGCACGCCGTCGTGCGCGGCGCAGAGTCTCCGCTTTGGCGTCGGTACCGCTGCTTCTTTGAGCGCAGCCCGGTCTGCGCTATCATGCGATGGAGCGGCACGCACTTCGAAGTGCTCAAGCGCGCGAATCTCGACGGCGCACCAGCGCTGCAGCGCGCCAACCGGCTTGTCCCTAGCACCGAAAACTACTTCGCTGCAACCGAGGAGCAGCACCGCGTGCTT